AGTAAAGGATTTTCCAGAATTCACATTTTTAAGATTTTCTCAAGCAGGGGTTTTGAGATTGACGGTGGAATTTGAAATTCTATTTGTTTATAAATGGTAGCAGATTACAATAGTTATCTGTAATAGTAGAAATGAGTGTTCTATTAGTATATTAATGCCTATAACAAGTACTAATTATTGAAGGGGGCTCCAGTCGGTCGTGTTTTAAGGAAATTAATATAGGTAATTTAACATGATGACATTAAAATGACTTGTAACCACGGACTAAGATAGGGTATATCTTAGTATACCCTATCATAGTATATATCTTAGGTATATCTTAGTCCGTGCTTGTAACTTGTAAGTGGATAAAGTAAATGAACATTAGTATGTGTGAGTTTAATCTGTAATCGTTTTCGGCCAATATTTCCTAGAAATGCCCTGAGGCCTGAATTATAACAGTAAGGCAGTAAGCCCGCATATATACCGCCCGATTTATCGGTGCCCGTTATCGGCAATTAACTTACTTACCTACGGGCTACGGCATTGACGTAGTTTTTAAATTATGATCAACTTTTTCAATTTAAAATAAGCGGATGGTCTCTGGATGGTCTCTTCACTCATCCCCCCTGTCTGAATTGTAAATAATTGTAATTATCAACCTGTTTGTTACACTAGCCTATTATTTTGTCTTTTCTATACTTATTCTTTTATCACTTGTGCTTATTGTAAACAATTATATTACAGATTGTACAATTGTCTAGTTTAAAAATAAAAAAAGCTGTTTTCAAGCCGGATTCCCACGACTGGGTGTACTTGTCAAATAAGCCAATAATTGTAATTTGACCAGTGCACGAATAATTTGTTCACACGAATCACACGACTGGTGTACTTGACTAGTAGGGCAATACTTGAGCACTTGCACAAGTAGCCAAGTAAACTGTTCCCACAGGTGGCTGCGTTATAGCAAATATGAATCACGAAAAAAAAAACCATGAAAATAAAAACCAAATATTTATATTTTACTATATTATGTCATATTTCATTAGACATAAGTTTTAATTTTCTAATTAAAAATGTTGATCAATAATCCAACTGCCCAGGTGTTCTATCAGTTGAATACTATAATTTAATTATACAATATAATTGTTAGAAGCACATATTGGGGGTATATATATATCATAGCCTATTGAAAAATAACAAATACGAATATATTTATAGAAACTGTTAAATATATGGTAGACACTACTAGACAGTAGCCTCTAAGTAAAGATCACTTGCTAGTTTCTATCTACTATAGCCCACCCCTACAGAAAAAAGAAAAATCCTATCGATCCAGCTACACTAGACGAACTTGAGATTTTGGTAAGTCATCAATTCTTTGACACATATTATCGAAATTGAAGTAGCCGGTTAAGTTGAATAATTATTATTTCATATTTGTATATAATAATATAATTGAGATGTTCCAAGTACCTAAGTACCCACAAATAATTTTTCAGTTTCAAATTGTTTTAATTTTTATTTCTATGAATGTCAAGATAATTTTATTTGTTAGGTAAAAAGTTTGAAAATTAAACTGAAATTTAAACTTATTTTAAATTAATAATTATTATTCTTATTATTGTACTGTGATAAATTTTTAAAACGTAGGTATTTAAAAATTATAAAATGTTCAATTTTTATAGCCAAAAATTGAAAATTTAAAACAATGATTCTCATAAATAGTTCATAATGTAACCAAACAATGTGAACAATATATAAATACACAGTTATTTTTTACAGGCATTTTAAGTTTAAATTACCGGTTCAGATAAATTTAAATCACCCACCTATACCCTAAAAAATATTTTTTCGCTTCGCTATTACTATTAAGTTTCATTTTACCAAACTACTGAGCACTGCCTCACTGATCAGTGACCATCCACCCACCCACTCAAATTTTTTTTACAAGCCGCCTCTCGCCTCTGCACCTGGATTATTGATCAACATTTTTAATTAAAAAAATAAAACTTAATTCTAATGAAATATGACATAATATAGCAAAATATAAAAATTTGGTTTTTGGTTTTTTTTTCCGTCTACCAGCAAATATTGGTGGTGGGGGCCACATTTTAATATTTAATTTTTATAATATTTTTACTTTTTTGTTTTTGTGAAATTTAAGTTTAATTTGATTTAATTTGTAGTCCTAAATCCTAATCGTTGTGTGGTAAAGAGTAAAGACTTCAGTGTTCTGTGGACTGTGGGGATGATGCTGCACACATCGTGACACGCAAACTCCTTACCCGCCGACAATCAATCTGACAAAAAATGGCGCTGGTCTTTCGCCGTTTTTCAATTTCTCATTATGATAATATTAACTAAACCAATGAAAAATGGCGAAAGACCGTCGCCATCTTTGCGTAACATAATACAAAAATTGGTTCATTACCATCATAGGTACCTAGTTTATTATATCATTTTAATGTTATTGCCTATTGGTCGGTTGGTCAGCCGCGGTCCGGCACTGCAGCACTCGTCAAAGTACATAATATATTATTATGACCCATTCGTGTCGCCGGGAATGTACATTACGGAAATGTTACATTGCAAATATTAGGTATAGTATAATAATCTTCATGCTACATGGACATTAATACATCATCTATACATTAAGGTGATTCATTAAGCGTAAAACACTCATTATCTCAAAAGTATTAATGTTTTTGAAAATATTTTTTTACATAGTTTCAAGTTGTTAAAAAAACGTTTTCATTAAAAAATTATATTTTTATCATTATTATTTTTTAAGTTTTTTTTAATGTTATTTAATTTTATATTTTTTTTTTGGAAATTCTATTCTATTTTTTTGATTAATAATTTTATTTACAAGATAATAAATGTAATGTAATATAATGATAAATATTAAATACGATTAAATATGGTATACTGTTTGTAGCCGCAATAATAAGTAATTAGCACCAATTGTAGATACTGAGGACGATTCATTGGTTCATAGACATACTATAGAACATATTATAGATGATTATATTTTATTGACACTGTTGTAACACTTTTCCATGAACTATTTTTCAACAGATGGTTATGGGTAATTTACTAATTTAATTTATATTTATCCATAGCTTCAAATGATAAAATATAGCCATATAGGTATTTATTTTTGAATTTAGCTTGTCCCTGAATCGTTTTATCAAGTGGATATTTGTTTGTGTAAATTAAAGTAAAAGTAAAACTTTCTGAAAAAAACTGTTTCCGAAGTGGTTACCGGTAATCTTGAAGAATTAAAACCCCTAAAACCGGTAACCACTTACGAAAAATTTCGTACCCGGTAACCAAATTTTTCATAAGCGGTTTCATGCCCTGGACTATACCAAAACAGATTTTTACCTATAAGCAAATCATTTTAAGTATGTATAAAATTAAATACTGATATCCTTTGTTTTTAAGTGTCTGATGATGACGATGTTGATGATATAAAACTGTGTAATTTAAAATTTTAGTTTTATTCTAAAAATTGTATTTATTATATATTTATATATGTATGTATTAAAATATATACATAATATATAATTACATTTCATTCCTAGAATTAAACCTAAACAAGAAAAGTAAATTAAACTAGAGCCAAAAGCCAACATAAATGAGTGCTGAAAAAAATAAAAAATATTCACTTCGATAAGACTAAAGTACAGAAAAAGGTTTACTAGAAGTCCCCGTGCGTACATAAACATCTGAAGACGTATTTGGCTCTGGTTAAAAAAAATCATACCACAAAAAAATTTACAATATTAATTGAATGCAATCACTTATTTTCGCTTAGAAAAAAACAATTTGAAAAATAAAATGAAAATTATATAATATAATATAATAGGTAAAATAAAAAATGACCACTTTGATACAATAATATTTTCAATTTTATATTGCTGTGTTGTGCCGTAAAAATACATTAGTGTACTTAATAGTATAATATTTATATTAAAATAATATTATCTTATTCACAATAGTAATTTACATCCTATATATGCATATTATATATATTATAATAAATATAAATATGTCATAAAAATGATACATTTTATATACTTACATCATTTTTAACACTATAAAAAGAAATGTATAGAAGTTTAAATGTAGTAAGAACAGTAGTTCTAAAAATTAATTATTCTAATTATGATAGTAGACGGCATTAAACAATTTTTGTTTAATAAATCATGCACTTCATTGATTATATCAATACCTATGAAATATATATTTCATATATATCTAATTAGGAATAATCACATGTAGAGTCTACAGAACAATTTGAACTGACTTTAAAAACATACGACCAATTTGATTACTTCTCTACAAATCACTTAAAGTACTATAATTATGTATAAAGTGTATAATATATAAATAGATATTTATAATTTTTTTTATTGAACGCATGCAAAATATTTAGAATTTTTTTCATCCGTACAACTTACATTACATTTCTTTCCACAAAAACAAAAAAATATAAATTTGAATTTTCATCGAAATAAATAATAATATATATTATATATTTATATTTATATCTGGTTAAAGTCAACATTATATTAAACAAAATTATCTATTTTAATTGAAATAATTTTATTTTGTTACATACAAAGATATAAGTAAATATTATTGTGAATTACAAATTATTTTAATTAATCGGACAGATAAAATCCAATACAAAATAACTTTGATAGGAGATTTGCCAATATTGACAATACACATAATGGTAACATAATCAGTATGCAATGTTTTTTTTCCTGTATGTGAAAAGTGTCTGTGAACTATTTTTTATTACATGGGATGAATTACAATTGTCCAGAATTAAATCAAAGCCTATCACCGGGATAGGCTAGTTATAAAAAAAGTGTAGTTACTAAATTAAAATAAACTTGTACCAAAATTATGATAATAACTATCAGAATAAATTTAAGTATTAAATATCTTGCTTAACACACTAAACTTATTAAACACTAAAGTATTTTAGCATTTTGATTCGTATCTTACGGGCTTGAGGAGTCTTTTTTTGCCTCTGTTACTGCAGGCTTATCAGATTCATCGGTAGATTCCTTTTTCTGCAAATAAATATTACAGTTTGTTAAATATTTATCATTCAATTAAATATAGAGATGTCCTTTACCTCTTCGCCTTTCTTATCTTCTTCGGCTGATGAATTTCCATTTTCAATTTTATCTTCGGTTTTTGAATCTACTTCTTCTTCTGTGGAACTTCCACCCTTGTCAGCTTTAGAGTCTACATCAGCAATACCGTTTTCTTCAGCTGACACAACTTCTTCACTTTCTTCTTTTGAGACTGCCTTTGGCCTTCCTCGTTTACCTAAAGATAAATTATTTTTTTGAAAATTATATGCAATCTTTTAATTAAATATACATTTTTGGTTAACACCATGTATTTTTTGTCAACAATTACCTTTAACGGCTGGTGTTTTTTTCTCTTTTTTTGCTGGAGGTTCATTTTTTAACTTTGAAGCTGCAGTTGAACCTCGTGTAGAGGATCTTGTCGTTCTCCTTCCATCAACATCATCAGTATTATTCAATCCCTAAACAAAATGTATTCAAATGTAATAATGGATTATACTCTTAAATTATGCAGTTAATTAAAGCTAACAAAAGTTTAAACTAAGAAAATTAGCTATTAAAAGATAATGTATTCTTTAAACCTTGGTTATCAGTTCAGCTTCAGCGTAAGTTGCATTAATTGCATTCGTACGGCTTCCTGTATTTCTTTTTCGGCCACGCTTCTCACCTTCCTAAATTTAAAAAAAAAACATAATAAAGTTAATAATTAATTTGTATATTAATTACCTATAATTATGTGTTATAGTCTTAAAACCATGCTTTCACAAATTGTGTTATATGGTACGAGAAATGTTGATATATGATTTTTACAAAATTAAGTATCAGATATAGATCAGATCCGTATATTATTAGGTACTGTGTTCTATTACAACATAACCATCACTTTTCAGTACCTATATTTTAAGTAATGAAAAAAGGTGTTTAATATAGCCACAAGCTAATTTAGTATTATACGTACATATATTACTTATGATATAGTGAACATTACAGAATAGATGTTATATTTATAAATTGACATAGGTACAAATTCTATAAACAAGACTTATAAATTATGATAAACCGCGAGACACAGAAAACTATTCTTAGAAAATTAATAATTTTTTGGTAACATTAAAATTTTTAAGGAAAGTGTTGAATAGTTTCAAAATAGGCACTCGGTGATTAAAATAGTAGATTTTTTTAAATTACCATTTCTTTTTTGTTTGAATATAAACCTACAAAAAAAAAAAAACAATTCTCTGGTGGTTTGACTGAAAACTCAAAACGCGCACATATAAGTCGTAACGAACAATGGGCCAAACGTAGTAAAAACAAAACGAAAAATATGTGAGCCGGAACGACGAAGGTCGAAGAGTTGTTATTCTGGATGAAAGACTAAGGTATAAGTGTCTAACAGTTTTGGCGGGACCCGTGTGAAACGGGCGCGAAGGAGCGGTACGGCCGGCGGAAACACAGTGGTGCACAGTGTACAATAATAATCGGGTAACGCATTATTTTTTGTTGCTCCTCTTGCCAGTAGAGCCCGTCACCATGGGCGGCCGATCGGAACCGACGCGCGCGTTTTTTATTACCAGAGAAAAATACGGCGGCCGAGTCGAGGTGAACGGATCTCTCGGCGGCCGCCGCACCTGCGCGTGCGTAAGCGCTCGCGCGCAAACAAGATCACGCCGCCGTCGTCCGTGGCGCGATTGCCGCGCGGACAGTAAATAATATTCGCAGACAACGATTGCCAGGCACGCCATCGGACGATCGTGTTGCCGGCGACCTGGCTAGAGTCACGCGAGTCACGGGACAGGTTTTCGCACCCCGCCGACGATAATGGCGGCGAAATCACGAACGGTCGTCGGCGGTGAAGGGGGGTGGGAGGGGGTGAGGCAAACGGTTTTTATCGGACGGCGGCGGCGTAACGCTCGACCCGCAGGGGTGCGCGCGCGGGGGGGACAGGGGGTTGTTGGCATTTTCGCGCGTCCCGACGAGAAAGTCGCGTAATAATGGCGCGCGCGCGAGCCGTTTGGCGGCAAAAAAGATCGTTGGGGGGAGCGCGCGCGCGCGTTCGCTCGCCGTTCCATACGCGATAGATGTTACCTGAACTGAGGGTACGTTGTTCTCGGCGGCCACTTCGGACATCGCGGCGGTAATGGTGACGGCGGCTGTATTACGATGTAGTGATCGTCGTCTCCGGTCTGTCGGCGCGTTTCGTTAGACGCACCTCGACGGCGATTATTTACGGTCGATCGTCTGGAATCGGGACGCGGTCCAGTGATAAAGTCGTTGACGTTTTGAAAAACGAAAACTGTAACGTGCGACTGTATACGGACGACGTACGTGTCTGTGATGAACGCGGACGTACGGTTGCGACTTGCGAGCGGACAGTGAGACAGGCTGCGACGGCAGTTGTTTGTTTATACGAGACGACACGAGTGTGTTGGGATTTGTAACGAATAATAATGCGGTGGCGGTGGCGGCGGCAAGTGAGTTCGACGACGGCCGACGAGCAGCGAGAGCGGACGACCGGGACACTGCGGATCGTACCGTGAGATGGCGCTTCAGACGCTTCGGTTCCCCTCCGGTCACGGACTACCACCACAGTATAAAGAGGCATAAACAATAATAATAATAACAATAATATTATTATTACTCTAGGGGACTGGGGGGCCGCGTTTATACTTTTAATTTTTTATACGCACTACACATAGAACATTCACGATATACCTACCTATTGGCTATTATTATGGTTCGGGACTAGCATGTCTGTGTATCGGATGGAGTAATGCATAACTGCAGAGTGTACAATTAATACAAATTCAACCATTTTATAATTAATTTTTATAATTTGTTTTACCTACTAAGGTACCTATTTTTAAAGAGGCTTAAATTAAATATTTTGGGGAATATTATATAAGCGCTTATTTGAATGATTCATAGTGCCTCTAAGTTCCAAAAACTACTTATTTACAATAATTTGCAAGACCATAATTTTTACGCTAGTCAAATGTTTTCAATGTAACCCATGAAAACTTCCTAAAATATTAGATTATCATATCGTTCAATTATAACCATAATTAACTTACCTCCCATAAGTTTTTTTAGTGAGTTTGAGTAACAAAATATTTATTTTATTATTTTTTTTTATTTATCCTTAAGCCCGACATCTGTGGCCATTAGCTGTTTGTAGGGTTGTATTGAGGTTGTGGTAGAGTTTGGAACGTTAAGTTTTTACACGTGAGTGTTTGGCAGAATTTTGAAGTGGGCACCCGTAGGTACATGCCATGCCCGGGTGGGGGATGGCAGCCTTTCTCTCCGGACACTGCCCGAAGAAAAATGCCGCCGGTAGACGGGATCCGCTTATTAGTCCGCTCGGCCACTTCGTCCCCCAAAATAATATTATTATATTATGTTGTAAAAATTATTATAATATAATATTAGTATGTCGAATCGAAATCGGTAAAAAAAACCAAAATTATAATATTATAATCAATATTTTTACGATACCTACATCTTTTTCCTTTATTCTATTACTGTTACTTAATAATAATAATATTTGCATTGTTATTAATGAATAATATTAAAATATATATATAATATATATAATTTTAGTATAATGAATAGTAACAAGGCAGGGCACTAACTAATTAGAAAGTTAAAGTTAAGTTAGAATGTTATTACCCACCTACGGAAAAATCCCGAATCCCGGGATCCTCGGTCGTTTAAGATTGTAAATCCAACAATACCTAAAGGTATGACGTTTACGGTTTACCCAATTATTTGTAATCATAATTATAGGTTACTTTTTAAATAAAATATTATTTTATTTTACCTGTTAAAAATCTATTGGTGTTTACTATATAGTAGGTACCTAGATTGCTATATAACAAATTTCCCATTGTTGGGGTGATCACGTGGTTCTAGAAGCACCAATCGAATCATTCGACAGTCGAGAAAGCGGTATATTATTCTCTTTTGAAAAGGAGTTTAGCCAGTATAGGTACCTACATGGTGGGCGAATGGTGTGATCTAAAGACTAAAGTTTCGTATAGACTACCTGTACGGTTACCAACTAATTATAGGTAGATCGTAGATGGGGAATTACATATATTTTTTGAGATATATTTAAATTATCACTGATTATTTTTTAATTAACATTTTAGATTCTGAGCGGAGCGATGAATGTATTGGTTTTACAATGATGTATGTTTTTATATTTTTATATTTTTATATTTTTTTTTGTGTCTGTCATCACGTTTTGGGACAGTAAAAGTGCTTCGATTTTCTTCAATAGTACCTTTTCTGATAGGAAAGTGAATCTAGTTGGTACTTTGGGGGGTCAAAAGTAAACATTTTCCAGTAGTTTTCACAAGCGCCGGGAAAAACAACATAAAAATTAAGGAAAAACGGGAATTTTTACGCAAAATCGATTTTCCAAAAAATCGAATTTGGTTATTGGTGTAACTTTAAAACAAATGACCGTAGATACATGAAATTTTCACTGGTTGTTTATATTTGCATTTTCTATACACGATAACATTTTCAAAATATTTTGATTTATTTTGAACTGTTTAGGGACATTTTCATTTTTCATTTTATTTTAGTTTTTTTTCTAGAAATATCAATAAAATTTTATTTGTTGGTTGCGAAAGCTTGAAAATTTAATAGAAGGCTCCTAATATGTTGTTTCAAAGGCAGATGAAAAATATTAAAAATCCTTAGTCACAATTTTTTTTATAAGCATTTAAAGTTCAAAAATTGACAAAATATGGAAAAATCACGAAAATTAGCAAATTATTTTGAGTTAAGAATTCGTAAAAATTTTTCTTTTTAAATCTAAGATTTGAAAATGAAACACAAGATTCCTTATAAGATTATCTACCTTTATCAATAAAAAAATCTCTACCGGACAGTCAAATTAAATTTTTATGAGCGTTTGAAATTCAAATTTTTACAACATTGGATTTTCACTCGATTTCTCATGTAGCGATTTCCTTATTTTGTTGTAATTCAAAAACGAATAACTGTAGATACATGAAAATTTCACTGAATGTTTATATTAGCATTTCATATACACCATACAATTTTGAAAATATTTTGACTCTTTTTGAGCTGTTTATGGACATTTACAGCTTTCAATTTTTTTTAGTTTTTTTTTTCTATAAATATCAATAAAGTTTTATCTGTTGGGCCAAAAAGTGTAAAAATTTAATACAAGGCTCCTGATATATTGTTACAATATCAGTTGAAAAATATTAAAAATACATAGCCACGATTTTTTTTTATAAGCATTTAAAGTTGGAATTTTGACAAAATTTATCAAAATCTCGAAAATTATCAATCGTTGGAATTAAAAAATTATAAAATGTTCAGTTTTTATAACTAAGAGTTGAAAATTTAAAACAAAGATTCTCTTAAATAATTCATACTGTAACCAAAAAATCTAAAAAATATATAAACACACTTATTTTTTACAGACATTTTAATTTCAAATTTAGACAAAATTTCATATTTAAACCAAGAATTACGATTTTAGTTATTTTGTTGTGATTGAATAATACTATTCGTGGGTACTTGAAACTTCTAAAGTGTACTATTATATATCTATGATAGTATCACGGTTTTTGTTGATGTATAACGCGTTATAAGTATCTAATGGATATTGTGATATGATTAATTTGGAATTTATTATAGGTACCTATTATAGGTCAATTTTTTGTTTAATACCATAGATATGTATATAATATGCCTTATACATAGACTGACATACCATCACCGCTCAGAATCGTTTTTCTTATACAATGATATTATATCATTGAATTCAAATTTAATACCATCCATTATACAGTGACCCACTTGTAACCTACTGTACAGCAGAGCGACACCCACTTGCCCACCTTTTTTTAAATTAGTACTATACTTTTTAAAACTCTATTAGGTATATAGATATAAGTGTATAGGTATTTAATTTATATCAAATGCACAATATTGGATTGAAAATCAAAATCGATATCTTTATACGATATGGAATGTATATAATATAGAATATCATTATATATTATGGTTCAGATTATAATGATCTAAATAACCTCAACAGTTCTCTAATAAAATACTACTTAATGCACTAAAAATATGACTTTTTTCAAAAAAATTTTATTATTTTATTTATGCAATACTAAACATGTGTTACATATTTTGTACAATGTATATAACATAAAAATTCAATCGTAACTCGATATTTATCGCAGTTAATTCAAGTCTTATGACTTTTTGCAATTACCCTCATCGTATTATAAGTAACATTGTAACAAGTTATTTATCGTTTGATAACGAAAAGGTTCAACTATAACGTGTACAATTCTTTGCAGCTTACAATTATTAAGTTATTAACCGTTCATTGCTACTATCGTCTATTCGTATCCATGATTAAACGTAAAGTACACAGTTTGAGGAGATAACTTGATCTAAATTTATACGCTTGTAAATAACGCACGGAAAATGCCTTCAAAATAAAAATATGCCTTAAAAATAATGTGGACAATATAAGAAAATCCTTGATATGTGAATTTGTTAATTTAAGGGTGAATAATATTTAATCGAACAATATTTTAACTTCTAACGCTCATAAAAATTAATTTGACTTTTTGGTAAACTTTTTTTTGTTGAAGGTAGGAAATCGTATGAAGAATTTTGTATTCAATGTTCAGATCTTAGGTATAAATGAAAACAATTTTTTTATTTCCATCTCAAAATAATTTGTAATTTTTCGAGATTATGAGGAATTTTGTCGAATTTCTAATTCGTTCAATATTATAGTTATTGTGGATTGAAGCTTAATTTTTTTTTTAATTTCCACTAACAATAATTTATGAGGAACCTTACATTACATTTTTTATAATTCATTGACCGAGCGATAATTTAATATCATCAATAATAAAAAAAACTCAAAAAGAAATAAAATATTTTAAAAATGTTATTGTTTAAATTTAGTGAATAATTAATATTAATATTATTCAGTGCAAATTTCATGTATCTTTGGTTATTTTTTTTTTTTAGTTACACCAAACTTAAAACTCGAAAACTGGATTTGCTTAAAAATCTTCGTGTTTACTACTAGTGTATGTTTTTAGGGTTCCCTACGG